TTTTCTAACACTGATGTTTCTGATATATTATGATATTTAAGAGGTTTTGTACTGTTTCCTGTATTTTATATGTAAACTGCCCATAGAGATTTGGCTACTGAGCAGTATAGAAATAACATGAATAACACCACCACCACTACCCCCACTGTGGAATTCCTGGGGTACATCATCTCCTCTACAGATCTTTGCCTGGATCCTCAAATGGTCCAGGGCATTCTGGATTGGGAAGCTCCCAAAGATCTAAAGGGTGTTCAATGAATCTTGGAGTTTGCCAACTTCTACAGATTTATCCAAGGCTTCTCCCATCAGGATGCTCCTCTTACTGCTCTACTCAAGAAGGGACTAAGATTTTCTTGGACTCTGGCAGCCCAAAATGTGCTTTCTCTGGCACACAAAATGTGTTTTCTCATTTAATTTGTAAACTGTTCTGAAAGCTAATGTGGCTAATCAAAAAGCCTACATAAATATATGAATAAACAAGGGCTACTTTCACTTGGCACCTATCTTAGTAGGACCTTGCATTATCCCTCCTTGTGGAAATGGATGCATCTAGTCAAGCACTTGGAGCAGTCTGCTATTAGCAATGAGGCCATCAACTGCTTCATCCCCGTGCCTACTATTCACCCAACTGATTCCTGCTGAACACAACTACAGTGTTTGGGATAAGGAAGCTTTTGAAGCATGGTGCCATCCCTTGGAAGGTTCAAAACACCCAGCCCAAGTCCTTATAGACCACTGACACATTTATGACCACAACAGGCATGTTGGACATTATTTTTCCTCTGCTTCAATTTCAAATTGAAATATCGACCAGGTTCCAAGATGGGTTATTGTGCAAGAGTGAATCTGAAGATGACGGCACACCCATACCCCTATTCATGTTCCACAGGTTTCTCCAACCAACATTAGAACAAGATTCCTGTCCTGTGTTCCTAATGGAACCCTCAGGGTCCAGGTGTTACATCAATGCCATGACGCTCAGGCTGCAGGGTACCACAAGGATGACTGGATTGATTTATTGTTCCTCATGGAATTTGTTTATAGCAACGATTAACACATCTTGACCAGTTACATCCCTTTCTTTGCCATGTATGGCTACCAACCCTGAGACTACCCACTCACTTCCTCTATGTCTCTTGTCCTGCCCACCAACAAATGGCTAACTCAAAACAGGTACAAGCAGAGCTCCTGCAAACACTTGGAAAAGGCCAAGACAGCTTATAAATAACTCTCCAAATGAAAGAAGCAAAATGGGGCAGACCTATGAGCTGGAGACAAGGTCTGGCTTTCAAAGTAGAACTATTCCTCTCTGTGGTCCTCAGTCAAACTAGACTATAAATCCATGGCCCTTTCCAGATATGTCAGCTGATCAACCCAGTCACTTATGAACTGAACCTTCCATGAACCCTGATAATTCATCCAGTTATGCAAGTGTCCCAGCTAAAAAGTACCAAGACAACTCTTTTTCTAACTGTGTAACTCTACCACTTCCACCAGCCAAATATTCAAGGACCATGTTGAGTACCATGTAGCAAAGATTTTAGACTCTAAGATTATCCACAGCAAACTCCATTACTTGATTGGGAAGGCTGTGGCCCAGATGAGTGCTCATGTGAGCCTGTGGAAAATGTTCGTGCTCCTGCCAAACTCCAAAGCCTGAGCTTGAAAAGGGAAGGGTTTCCCCTTCTCTCTTTCTCTCTTTGGATGGGGGGGGGAGGGGGGATGACTACAGGATCTGGGCAACTTCAGGGCTCCATCTGCTGGCTAAGCACCAGAATAGCAGGCCCAGTAGTTGCAGGATTACTTCCTCAATCTCCTGCAGCAGCCAGGGCCCTCGTGAGCACCACCTGGGAGTCCTGAGGGAAAAACTATGTAAGAACTGCCTCTTCCCTCCAGAAGCTGCCTCTGCAATTAAGGTCTCATGATTTGCTGCTGTGCTTCTTGCTTCCTGGTTGTTGTTAGCTGAGTACCTGTTTAGTGCCTGTTCCTGCTTCAAGTTCCAAGGTACCCCTCCAGTTTGTGTTGCTTCATTGGTTACTGACTCCTGGCCTGCCTTGACTACATTATTGCCTAGTGGATTGTACCTTGCTTTATGCCTTTGTTCTTCTCAGCCCTGCTTTTGGATTGCTGGACTTGTTAGGACTGACATTTGGACATTGGTTTAGCTGCCTGGGTCCTTGTGCCCATGTCTGTTATCCTGCTGCCCATGTCTCAGACTCTGACAATCATATACGCACACAAAGGACATATATTTATATACCCTTCTTTAATATGTTGAATACATTGTATTTTTATTCCTTCCTCAGCTGTCGCACTCCTACTTAGGTGGTTTTATTGTAGAGGCTCCATAATCATATATGTGTTATAGACTAGTAGTGATAATAACTGAATTCCCTGTTTCTTTAGGAGTTTTGATCTATTATTATGTGTGTTGTCTTGTTGATTTTTGTTGTTTACATGAAATAAAATTTCAGCATTAAAAACACCAAGAATTTGAGCAAAGGTGCTTGCATGGTCTAATATTCCTGCTCTGCTTTCTCACTCAGTCCTTCTCAGTCTATCCTCATTACATTATCAACTAATTTTGGAAACCACACTTCTCACACATATAGTGAGAATATATCTGTAGGATGCCATTTCACACATACACTCTTCCTCAGGAAAAGTCTCCCTTGCTCCACATATGTTGAAGCACTACCCCTGTATTAGTCATTCCCTGAAATCTGTGGTATACAGTGTTTGAATAAAAATGTTAAGCATACTTCACTCTTACATACTGTCTACATTAACTCAAAAGAATTTTCCACCCTTAAGAGATGCTTCTCCTGATATCTCTGCCTGAATTTCTGGTAAGGTTTCCAAGTGAAGAAGAGGCAAGTCCAGAGAAGAAAGGCAATGGATAACTTCTCTTAAGAATGCTTAATTCTGCCATCTCTTTATAGTAAGAGGACCCCAATTTAGAGGCAGTTCACTCAAAACAGAAACTATTTGAAAAAAGGCAAGCCCAAAGCAATGAATTATGCATAAACCCAGTGCAGTGGAATTATCTGTTGGTGCCTCAGCTTAATTGCCACTGTGTATTAACAGTTCTGTCAGCAAACAGTTTGGAAATTGCTGGCTTATATGGACCAGCCATTTACTTCTAATTAAATGTATTTCTTTGTACCTGAAAATGTAATTTGTTTTATATTGTCTTCATTGCATTCATGTTTGTTTCATACTAATGCTTTGTGTGTATCCATATTTACCTTTGGTTTCCGCCTTTTTTATTCCTTTTTAAAATTTGCTATTGTTTTTGCCTGTGCCAGTAGTGACACCAGAATGGACAGCTAGACCTGGAAACATTCATTTCCCCCGGGAAAGCCTTGACACGATATATTTCAGGTGACTGGGGATGGGACAATGACAGCTGCCCCAGTGGGGTCTGTCATTTTTTTTTTTTTTTTGGTCAACAAAAACACTGTCTCAAAAGGCTTTTTGATAGGGAAATACATCCTGTTCCAATTTTTAGATTATTCAAACCAAGACTTTTCAGGATGGGCATGACAAAGATATTGAAGCAAAGGAAGGATTAAAAACTCAGAGAAATTAGCATAGAAGACATTAAGGTATATGAAAATGTGACCATAAATCAGTATTTTTTCAGTTTGTTCCAATTCTGTACTGTTCCCTTTTGTTTATTAAAATTCTCTTTTAAACTGGTTAGCATATACATTTCTAACATTAAGCTTAACCTTTCTTGCCTATTTTAATATTAGTAACCTAGAAAGTCTTGATCTTAGGAATTACTTTTTATAAGATAAAGTTCTCAGGCTTTTACATAAACTTACCCTTAATTCAATTGCTTTCCTTTTGTACACATCAAGCTGTTTTTTAGTAAGAGGTAAACAAGTCCTTGGTGTTTCATCTTCATTATATTTTGCTTCCACTTCTGGTGATGGTGATTTCTCAGAGACAGTCTTAACTTTCTCCTATATATCACAAATTAACCAATGTCCAAATGTAATGCATTTAAAACAAATATACAAACATGCAACCAAGTCCTAAGATGACAGGAAAGATGAATTGCAGTGGTAGCTTGGCTCACAAACTTAATCCGTTCCAGGACTCTGGTCATGACCCAAACTGGTCGTGATCCAAGTTAAATTTCCCCATAAGGTTCATTGTAAATAAGGTTAATCCATTCTGTAACCATTTTTTTAATCAGAAAAATGTGAAGCAAAGTGACAAAGAACAACAAAGATCGCGGCCATCTCCCCTTCCCCACCCTGAGCAAAAGCGCGGCCATCTCCCTGCCTCCCCCCAGCATGACCAAGATTGCACCTGTCATCCCTGCACGCGCCTGTCATCCTGGTGTGCTGGGGGTGGGGAGGAGAGACAGGCGCAATTGCAGGCACACTGAGGGAGAGAGAGACGGGCGCAAACGGGGCGCAGTGGGGGAGGGAGAGACGCGCATGATCTCGGCTATCTCCCCCCACCACCCCAGCACGATCGCAGCCATCTAGATGGCTGCGATCGTGCTAGGGGTGGGGAGGGGAGATGGCTGAGACTGCTCCCGTCTTTCCTGCAGGAGCGTGCCCATGATCACGCACATCTTCCCTGCACAAATGCAACTGCAATCATGGCCATCTCCCCACTCGGGGGTGGGGGGAGATGGCTGCAATCTTGGTCACCACCAATGCGGAGTTCACGACCCACATCAAATTTCATGAAATTTTTGTTTGCAACCTGATTTAATCATGAACCAAGGTGTTAGTGAGCCATGGTACCACTGTATATGCAAGTTCTTTCTTTGCCTGATATAACACATTAGTCTAAATACAGAGCCTGTCAGTGGTGTTTGACTATAAAAGGGGAGCAAGGGACTAGCTGCCAATGTCACAAGATGGACTGGCAAAAGATCCAATGACTTTTAGATTTAGTTCTAGGACAAGTGTGATTATGTAGTTGTAAAGGCAGTACTGCAAGAAATCTATTTCTGTAAACCAGGGAAGGACAATCTTTTTTTCTCTTCAGAGCTGGATCCCTCATCCCTCAGATAGTCTGATGGGGGCCATACATTTGCAGTTGTTGAGGCCAAAGTTACCCGTAGGTGGAGCCAAAACTAGGGTAAGACAGAACTGAAAGGAGGTGGATAATCCCTCTTCTCCCTTCTGCCAAAAGTTTCTTTTTCTTTCTGCAACCCCCTTTCCTTTCTCTCCCTCATCCTTCTCACCACGGAAAAAGTAAAGTTGCTTACCTGTAACTATTGTTCTTTGAGTGACCATCTGTGCATTCACACATATGGGAGCTGTGCCTGTGCAGTGCCTCCATTCAGGAAGATTCTCCTAGCTAAGCCTAGAATTTCTGGCAGGAGTCCCACCTATTTATACTAAGAGGGAAGGGGCAGGGGAAGGCCATCCTGCATATTTATACTAAGAAGGAACTGCCATTTGTCAGTCCAGCTGGCGACTAATGTTTTACCCTCCAATTTGTACTATTTGTTTGTTGAGAAGAAGAAAAGTTTTGAAGCCACTGACACTGACTTGGGGCTGGTGGGTGGGTTGTGTGAATGCACAGACGACAACTCAAAGAACCAACAGTTATAGGTAAGCAACTTTACTTTCTTCTCCATGGTCTCTGTGCATCACACATATTAGCTTACCAACACAGGAGGAGGGAGGTGTCACCACTGAAGGATGAAGGAGAGAACAGCTTGGCTGAAGGAGCAATCTTGTCTCACTTTTATGAGGAGCCAGTAATGGTATATGATTGTTGATGGTGCAGACCAAGCAGCTGCTTTGCACAGTTCATGTTGTGTTATGCCCACATGTTGGGTAGTCGATGTTGACAAAGCCCTGGTGGAGTGGGCGTTCGATTGTTGTGGTAGCTCAAGGTTCACTAGGTGCTATGTTAGCTTGAGTGTTTCTACAATCCAGTGGGCTAAATGCTGTGGATTGATTAGTTTGCCCTTCGAATGGTCCATGTATTTAATGAAATGTCTTTCTGCTTGGCAGATCAATTCTGTACAGGATTGGTAAAAAGCTAGCACTCTCCGCACATCCAGTGTGTGCAGTGCCCTCACAATCAGTGTTGATGGGGTTAGGAAGAAAGCTGGAAGTATTATTTCTTGATTCTAATGAAAGGATGAAGAACCTTTCAGTAGAAAAGCAAGGTCTAGCCATAGGACCACCTTCTCCTTATGGAAAGTAAGATATGGTGGGTCTATCCTTAGTGCGCAAAAACACACTTGCTCTCTGAGCCAAGGTGGTGGCCACCAAAAAGGAGACTTTCCATGAAAGGATATGGAGATTGATGGTTACAAATGGTTCAAAGGGAGGTTTCAATAGGGCTTGCAATACCATGGATAGACTCCAGGCAGGAACTAGTGATCAGATAGGGGGATTAAGATTGTGAAGTCCTATCATAAACCTCCATGTAAGGGGATGGGAGAAAACACAGCATCCATCAACTGGACCTCTCAGAAAGGAGACAGCAGAGAGGTAGACCTTGACAGAAGGTGGCATTAGATTTTTTAGATGTAGGGAGTAGAGGAAATCTAAAATTCTATGTACTGGTGCCATAATGGGATCAAAGGCATGTTCTATTGTATAACTCTTGAACTTGTTCCATTTGATGGAATAGGAATGTCTGGTGTTGGGACATAGTACTTCTTGTAAAGCTGTATTTGTGGATCCAGTGCAGCAGCCATTGCCACTAGGGTGATCAACCAAGCCGTTAGATATCTCTGGACACCAGGGTGGAGAACTTTCCCCCACTCTTGTGTGATCAGGCTTGGTATGTTATGTATGAATGTTTGGTTTGACAGTTGCAGAAGGTATGGAAACCAAGGCTGTCTTGGCCACCATGAATTTATCAGGATGCCAGATGTTCTCTCCATTCATATTTTGGCAATTGCATTGGTAATGAGAGGAAATGGTGGGAAAACATAAAATAGGATCCCTTTCCAAGGGAGAAGGAATGCATCTCCCAGAGAGTTCCATCCTGTGTCAGCTCAGAAGCAATAACCATTGCATGCTGCATTGTCCTCTGTTGTGAAGAGGTCAATGGTTGGTGTATCCCATTCTGAAAAGATGTGGTTCCTCACCTCTTCAGCTTCCTTTCATGTAGTCAGAAAGAGGTCCAACTGAGGGCATCTGCCATTGTGTTCCTCATGCCAGCCATGTGGGCAGCATGTAGGGATATATCCCTGCAGACACAGCAGTCCCATATTTGAATAGCCAGACAGGTTAGAGCTACAAATCTCATTTATTTATTTAGAGTTTTTGTATGCTGTCCTAATACTAAAAGTCTCTGGACAGCTTACATGCCCTGTCTGTTGAGATAAAATATAGTTGTATTGTCTGAAGCCATTTGAATATGCCTCCCAATCAGCATGTTCTGCAGCGAAATTCATACCTTGTGGACAGCAAGGAGCTCTAGATAATTTATGCGCTTCTTGCATTCTGATCCAGTCCATATGCCTTGTGTTTGGTACCATCCACAGTGGAACTGGTGCTTGCTCCTAAGGGGTACCCTGGGAAGTAATGTCTGGTATATATAGGCAGTGCCCAGTATGGATTCCTAGTGTATGTGTGGGTATCTGGTTCAAAACTGTGGATTGACTGCTGAATGGAGCCCAGTGATGGGTATGAAGACACCATTCTGTAAGGATGTAGCATTGAAGGGATGGGAGGTTTTGGCTCTCAATGTGGTGCATGTTCTGATCGAGCTGGAGTGTGGGGTACCAGAGAGTTCTGAATCTCCCCTTCGGAGAATGAAATTGGTGGAGCTGTATCAGTTTGGATCCCCTGGGGCTCCAGTGAGTTGGAGTGAGTGGGAGTGAAGCAGCTGGAGAGGTCTGAGCCAATTGCAGGGCTGGCATTACTGTGGTAGCTGGGGCTGCTGGTGGGAAAGGTGAACTGCAATGCTCAATTGCAACCAGTAACTGGTTTCTGAATTTCTTCTGTCTTTGTGTGGCTTTTTAACCCTTTTGGGCTCTTCTGCCACTAGATGTTTCCTCTTTTCTGTGTGTTTCTTTGGAAGGCTAAAGGAAGGTGGCTACCTAGAAATTGAAGCAGTTGGTTTAGGTGCACGTGATGTTGCGGGCAGAGGGCACTTTGGGGAGGCTTCCTTGGAAATGGATAGGCAGCTAGTTTTGTCACAGGCAACATCCCGCATGGCTTTGAGGCCCTCTCCTAGAGTTCCATTTTTAGACGTCCTGCCCTGTTCTTGTGGGCCTGCTTGGTGAAGGCCTGATGGTGGGGGCTCTTGTCAACTCCATGCTCCTCACCCAGGCAAAGCAGACACAGAAAGAGTGCGCGTCAACCAACAGCATTTTCATGCCACAGCTGACACACTTTCTCAATACTGGTTTCTGTGCCAATGAGCAAGAAGAGGAAATGAAGGAAAAGAAGACGAGGTCTGAGGATAAGAGGAGATGTTAGTAGGGTTTTTTAAAATATGTATTTTTTATTTTTTGCTAGGAGGATTTGTTGAGGTAAGGATGAAGAAAAAGAGGTAGGGTAGAAATAGACAAAGTGAAAAAGGAGACAAGAACTAAAGACTAAGGTTCTGAGGAAAGCATTGAAGCTAAGAAACCTGAGGAACAGCAATACAGCAGTTGAAAGCAAACTGACAAATGATGGGAGCTCTGCCTGTTTATACTAAGAGGGAAGAGGGCATGGCTTCTGTCAAAAATTCTAGGCTTAGCTAGAATCTTCCCAAATGGAGGCACTGTGCAGGCACAGCATCCATATGTGTGATGCACACAGACCACAAAGAACAGATCACTTATACCAGAGGATCTAATTACATGTAGAGGCCTTTCAAACTTAAGCTAAGGGCTGCATGAGACTAGACCAAAGGCTGCATATTGCCCACCTTTGCTTTAAACAAACACAAGGTAACACATATATAACAAGGCAAGACACTAGTCTTCTGAAAACTATGACAATAGTGACACACCCCTGTATTACTTCAGGGCATGTTCAGTTTACCAGTCTCTCTATATTAGTATCTTTTTTACACACAATCACATCCACACACTATGAATAATATAAACGGTCCTTATTTATCAAACATACTAACTTTCAGAAATTATAATTGCTTATGCAGCCAAAGTAGCATTGCCTATTAGCAGGGATGTAAGGGGTGAACTCTGAACAAAATAGTCCAGTAAGGAGCAAACAAAAACAAGCTCAATGATCATCAAATGCTGGCTGTTGGGGAAAAAATGAAAAATGTGTGTGAGGATGGATGGAGCTGCTGGAATGCTGTATGGCATCATGCCACACTCCACACTTGTTTATTTTGAATATTTATATGCCACCTCTCCATAAAAAGTGTGGCTAACAAATTCAGCTTAAATATGGCTTACCATTACATGTTCACACCAGAGAAGATCTGAACAGAAAGGGTCTGTATGATCAGCAAGTAAATGTAGACTTCTTCCACTGAGACAGAGGCACTTGGCTCTAATATCAGGACAGCCAGTATAAAGACTCTGTAGGCTTATTAGCTGAGCCTGTGCATTATGACCAATTGTGTGCCCAAGCATTATCCATGCCTGTTAAAAACCAGAAAACACAAAATAAAATCAAACCAGTTTTCTAAAATACATTTTAAATGTGCTGCAAAGTGACAATATTTTAAGCTAAAAACAACAACATCAGTAATGGGTACTGGGCTTCACTAAAAATCATCCACTGAAAAGGGTGTGCTTGAAAATTCCTGGATTATGTCAACTATTAACCAGTTGCCAGATTTTGGGCAAGGTCCTTGTGACTCAGTGGTGCCTAGACAAGTTGAAATACTCTTCTAGAACACTGATTATCCAGATCCTGTTAACTGCCTAACAGAAAGCCACTGGCTCAAAGCCACCCAAACCCTTGCTTCCAGATCAGGAACAGGTAAGCAAAGTTTCCCTCTACAAGCTCAGCTGACCAAACCTGTTCTGGAAATGAGTGTTTGCACTCATTTGGGTTACTTTTTGTGAGCACCGCTTGCACTAATAATGAATCTTGCAAGCCCACCCCACCCCTTTTCAGGCTCCTAAAACTAAAATTTAAAGTTATGGTGGGAAAGGGGCAGCAACTGGAGCAGGGAATGGGAAACAAGATGGCTTATACCATGAGGGATGCTGGGATGCACAACAGAGCCAGATAGAGGACTGAATGGAAAAGAAGGGAAGAAAAACCTGCAGTGAGCCCAAAC